CAACAACAGCAGCAGCAGCAGCAGCAGCAGCAGCAGCAGCAGCAGCAGCAACAACAACAACAGCAGCAACAACAGCAGCAGCAGCAGCAGCAGCAGCAACAAGCAAACAACACACCTTTAGAATATTCGTTATTCAACGATACTTTTACTAAAGTTACCCAGCAGTCAATGTGGGGTGGCCGAGAAAACGAATCTCAGAAGGGTATGAATTTCGCGACCGTAGCTGGCGGTGGAGTTTCAGTGAACACGTCCGGTTCATCTTCGTCGAAATTCATAGACAGCGTTCCTCCACAGGCTAGTATTAAAATCTCTACTGTATCTAGTTCTATTTCTGTAGATGGCGATTTAGACGGTGAATTCTAGATTACACGTTAACGATGTATCTGACGCGTAGTTTGTTTTGAAACAGGTGGATGCCTCGAAAGCTCCTGGATATCGCGGGACGGCCATGTGCTCGCCCGTGTCGAGCAAATCGAACAGCACGAATAATACTAGCGCGACCAGCATAGGAAGCGGCGCGTCGTCCAACACGGGTCACAGTCCAATTCAGCCGCCGCAATTTCAATCGACAGCTGGAAATTACAGCGAGCATTCTCTTTCGAACAAACCGCCTGGAAATTTGGCAGTAGCGCGACCAGTGATGCCTCAGCAAACCATAGAAATGGGGGCGGCAATGGGGGCACAGTTTAGTCGGCCAGTCTTTCAAGGTGAATTGACGTCGCGCAACACTTCGACGCACCAACCACACATCATACCTTCAACGTCGCAACCAACGTTGGACGTGGGTCTGTTCAAAACGAACAACGTCGGTTACGAGCATCCAAACGTAAATTCCAGCTTACTGAAAATGGTGCCGAACGAAGGGCAGAATCACCCTCTGTTACCGTTTCACCCCCATATGCAGAATTTCACGCAAACAATAGCAGCGCCATCCGCTTCCGTGAACACTACTGTCAGTATGTCGAGGTTAAACCCGAGAGCACCCGATTTCTCTAGTTCTTTACACTTGAACAGTAAACCTCAAGTGACGATGTTCAACCCCGGATCCGCGGCAGCGGCGGCGGCGGCAGCTGCGGCGGCTGCTGGAATACACGCAAATATGTTTGCCCCTGTACCACCGCCGCCCCCCTCAGCGATCCAGTCAAATAACTTGGCGATGCTCGGAAACTTTCCCCTAGGAAAATACCAGGGGCCGTCGCGAGCCACCCCGAACTCTGGCATCTCCAACAACGGACAGACCCGTTGGCCGTTCGCTCCGCCGCACAACAATTACCCGACACACCAAGATCCGATGATAGGGCAGATCGGTTTCTCGAATCACTTGACGAACATGAGCGCTGCGCAGCCCGGAAACATCGATTTGATCACGACTCTGGAAAACGGCGGTTCACCGGCGATATCGCCTTCTTCGCCGGCGCAGGTGGCCCAAGAAATGAATCAGCTGAAAATCGAAGATCGCAAAGTGCCGCGTCCGATCGGCACGGAAAGAGCTTGGAAGAACTACACGACGACCGGCATCGGACCCGGCGGTGACGCCGATTCGATCAACTGGATGCTCAACAACGAGAAACTCGTTGGTTCTTGGGCAAGTTTAGCGCCAGGGATAGACAGGCATCAAATGTTTCGGTCTAACGCCTCTTACAATCGTATCACCAACGTGGATGCCGAACTCCATCAGATGATGGAATCCTCCTTTCAGGTAGGATATATCTCACCGCCTTCCGCGTTACCAGCATTCCCTTGAATTTTTATTACATGTGTCGAGCACAGAGTAGACGGGACGAAGGAACCCCGCTCGATTCTTTCTGGCGACGGTTGCGTTGCTTCTCTCAGGAAATTCATTCGATCCGGCCGAATGTCTTACGGTTTATCTCTTGACGAATATTCCTATTTGCCATTTAGGGTCACGTGGACGCTCAGCAGCAAGCGTTCCCCAACGGAAGCGCAGGAGCGTTATCACTGATGCCAGCATTAACGTTACTACCTGGTCAATTTGGAGCGCCCGCTTTAACCGAAATCCCGCCAAACGAGCCGAATAAAATGGATCCACCAGCCTGGGGAATACCGGATGCCGTGCAAGATAAACAACATCCGGTACGTAAAGTCTCGAAACCGTTGGTTTCTCGCGTATTCACGGGCCCTGTTAACAATTTGTTTGCAGGCATGGAATAAATGGACCCATTGAAATGGAAAAGAAGAAATTCGTTTTCCGAGGTGAACAACACACGAAGCCTGAAATTTCGAGGTCAAAGTAGTACATAGATGGAACTGAAATATGAAGCGTTGTTTCTAGGCACTTAAATTGCATCGCTATCCTAATTATACCCATTAAAACAGAAATTCAACATTATTTGTCATGCTACTAGGTAATAAGGCGGTAAATTCTTACTACAACTTATATTATCCATCGCAAGTATTCGATAAAAGTAATTCTCAGATACGACATATGGCATCAAAGAATTATAGAGCAGAGAAGTTGCGCGCGAGATCAAAACGATGCAAAGAAATTTTCTCGTTTTCTGTCTTGGATCTTCCTTTGGTTTCGTTACATATATTTATGCATATACCTACATATGTGTATATATCCATATATATATATATATATATATATATATATATATAT